TGGAGACAGGCTACAGTCTTTGCCTGCCTATGTATGCTAAATATAGGAGCTCAATTTTGATTTTATTTTTGAGCTTTGAAGTAAATAGCTTGTGTTTGCTTTATGTGACTGAACATTTTCATCTGCTCTTCAGATCACTGGAGAATATTTTTCTGCATCCACTCATGGTTGGGTAAATTTGAATTTTTGTTCTTCCTTGAGGGATTAGCATACCCTCCCATTCCTTGTGTTCTCAGCTTCCTTATCTTTGGCACACATTTGTAATATCCTTACCATTATTTTCACTTACTTCTTAATCTACTTTTTTTTTCTTAAGTTAAATGAACCTTACCTTAAAGCAGTGGCATCCAGTCTTTTCCTGTTTACCATGACACTTAGCTGCTTTCTGTAGCATCCTCCAGTTTTCATATCAGTAAGCAGTTGCATCGTGGGAGTAAGGATGTGCAAGTCTAAAGCATGCAGGTGGCATATACTTAGCTTTGGAATCACCAATTGAATATTCTCCAAGTACAACTCAGAGGACAGAGCATTGCCCTTGAAGGCGGAAGGATGAGTTTTAAAATGTAAAAATGGGAGGCAGTGGGAAGGGCCAAACAGAGGATAAGTGAACCAGAACCCCCAGATAGAAATGCAGCAGTGACTCAATAGTGAGATAATCAGAACATTTCTGATTTGTTAATGTGGGGGGGAGGTGGCGAAAGGGAGAGGGAGAGAGGAGGGGGAGAAAACTAGGGTGTGTGTGTGTGTGTGTGTGTGTGTGTGTGTGTGTGTGTGTGTGTTGGCTGGTTTTGTGTGTCAAGTTGACACAAGCTAGAGTCACCAGAGGGGAAGGACCCTCTGTTGAAGCAATGCCTCCATGAGATTCAAGTGTAAGGCATTTTGTCAATGGGGGAGGACCCAGCTCATTGTGGGTAGTGCCATCCCTGGGCTGGTGGTCCTGGGTTAAGAAAGTAGGCTGAATAAGTCAAGGGAAGTAAGTCAGTAAGCAGATCTCATCCTCAGCATCTGCATCAGCTCCTGTCTCTGGGTTCCAGCCCTGCTTGAATTCTTGCCTTGACTTCCTTCAATGATGGAAGTGTAAGCCAAATAAACCCTTTCCTCCCCAACTTGGTTTTTGGTCATGGTGTTTCATCACAGAAGTAGAAACCCCAACTAAGGCAGTGTGTGTGTGTGTGTGTGTGTGTGTGTGTGTGTGTGTGTGTGAGAGAGAGAGAGAGAGAGAGAGAGAGAGAGAGAGAGAGAGAGAGAGAGAGAGATCAGATTTAACATCAACTGTGACTACTGGCCTGGAAACCTGGAGAAAATTGACAGACCCTAACCTCAATCCATGATATTGCTAGACATTAGACCTTACACTGTTCATGTTGACCCCCTTTACCCCCCCAAACCTTGGGATTAAAAATAAATAAGATCTCCTTTTAATTAATTAATTTTTAAAGATATATGCTTTTTCTCCTGTATATATATTTGTGCATGCAGAGGCCAGATAAGCACATGGGATTTCCTGGAACTGGAGTTACAAATGGTTGTGAACCACCATATGGTTGCTGGGAATCTAACCTGAAAAAGGAGCTAGTGCTCTTGATTGCTGAACTCTGGCATGATATCTCTTTTAACAACTTGCAGAAATTCCCAGAGTTTTGAGTGAGGAGTCTGGTGTTTGAACAAAGCTAGCAGCCTTAAAGTTTCTAGGGATTCTGTGTTTTTACATGTACTTCATGTTTACCCAACCAAAGGAACAAGAGCCATACCAAGCAAACAGTCCCCAAGGTAAATGGCAGGAGTCTCTGATGCTAAATTTTGTCATTGTCATTTATTGCTTGTGGCTTTGGGAAAGTTGTTCATCCTGAACATCTCAGTTTCCTCCTCTGCCATGTGGGCTGATATGATAGGGTCTTCTTGAAAGTTTGCAGTATGTGCTTTAGATCTGTTCCAGAGACCAATGCTATCAAAGACCAAGACCGATTTTGTATTTACTGAGATAACTCATATCATCAGGTGTAGACAACAGCCCTGGTGAACCTGTACCTCTAGTGTTAGTCAACTTGTTTCTGATTCTGCCCTTGGCAAGTTGGAGACACAGACCAGACCCTTAGCAGAAAAGATGTTTCATTAGACTAAGTGCTTGATTAGAAAGAACTTTCTGGATGAGGTTCTTATGTATCTTTTTCCAAGAATGTTGTATTCTTCCACTAAAGAGATTTTGTGTTTTCTGTCTTTCATGTAAGATGTTCTTTAAAAAGAAGAAGAAAAGAAAGATACCTTGAGCTTCTTTTTTTGGTGAAAAATATAATATGTTTTCATTAATATCTTAGCTTTCATCGAGTGTCTGATGACTGTAGAGGGATTTGTCACTTTCAAATCATTAGATTTAAGAATCTCTGTTCCTCTGTCCATGCAAACAAAACCCCAGCCACAAAATACGATGGTTAAGTTCTCTTCTTAACTAATGTCAGTGTGCTTGGTCTCGTACTTGCTGCCTGCCTCACCATCCTTCTCTGTGAGGATATGCCCCCAAGCTGCTCTAAGATGCTTTCAAATCAAAAACTACAGTGCAGAGGGTTGCTTCCCATAAGACACATGGGAAACTAACCTAGCTTTTCTTCAGAATTATTTGGGAATCTTTTCTTAAGGTTTATTAGACTTAAGTCTGTGTGTGTGTGTGTGTGTGTGTGTGTGTGTGTGTGTGTGTGTGTGTATGTATGCGTGTATCAGTGCATATGTGGCGGTCAGAAGACAACTGCAGGAGTCAGTTCTTCCCTTTGACTATGTAGTTTCTGGGGTTCCAATTCAGGTTGCCAGGCTTGGTGACAAGCACCTATATCCACTGAGCCACCTTGCCAGCCCTATTACCTTCTAAAGTCTGAAACTGAATATTCCATTAATAAAGGCTGCATTTCCTTTTATTACTCTTACTGTCCTAAGGGTGTGCTTTCCTCCCACCTTTAATGGTGGTATGCTTAGCCAAAATATTTGCTTAAGGAGGGGACAGATCATGCTCTGCTGGATGTTAGTTTTTCAGTGGCCTCTTTTGTCAATGTGTCAGTAAGTTAATCATAATTCAATATGGCACACCCATACTGACACATTTTACGTAAAATTAATAAATTTACAAGATGGTCTATGTGATGTCAGTTCAGAGGACATCACACCCTTTCAAGAAGGTGGAATTAACTGGTTTCCTTTGACTGCTTCATAGAAAATTGAGTTGACTGGTGTTTGAATATTTATTGTTACATAGGTTGGGACTCTACCTCAAAATCCATTAGAAAAGCCTTTGACAAATTTAACAGGTGGCAAGAAGCCAGTGTGCCTGGAATCTAATGGAGTAATAAGAGATGAGAGGAAACAGATCACAAAAAGCCTTTGGGCTGCAGTCCTTGGTGTGTGTGTGTGTGTGTGTGTGTGTGTGTGTGTGTGTGTGTGTGTATGTGTGATTGTACCTGTGTGCTCATGTGTACAGCTTGTCTATAATTATGTGGTAGGGGTAGAAGCACAAGGGTTTGATATCTGGTGTTTCCTCAATTGATCTTAACCACATTTTTGGGGACAGGACCTCTTATTGAACCTATACCTTTCTATTTTGGCCAGACTGGCTGGTGAGCCCCTGAATTCCACCTGTCATCTTGCTCAGGGCCCAGCTCTTCAGCTACAGATATATGCTGCCATACCCAGCGTTTATTTGGATGCTGAGTGTCTGAACTTAAGATTCCATGTTTGTGCTGAAAACACTTTAGCCATGGAGCCACCTCCTCAGCCCCTACAGATAGCAGTCTTCATTCCAAGTTCTGTTAAAGCCAGGAGTGAGATACAGTCTGGTTCATGTCTTTAATAGATCACTCATACTGTCATGGAGGAGTCGCAGTGCTTACATATTAGAAGGGAGCAAGGCACCCTCTGGGTAGGAGGATGTAGAGTACTGGAAAGATGGTGGTGGCCCAGGTTATAGCAGTGCTTGTTGGGGATAGCAAGTGATTTGACCTTTGGTGTGGTCTAGATAGAGAACACAGCCTTGCCACTGGAGCACAGTCCCCACAGGGCTGCAGCGTGGCTAGCCATAGCCCTCAACAGCTCAGCTCCTCTCCTGGTGGGGCTTGACTTCAGACTTTCCTTATCCACGTTTGAACTGGAACCTCAGCTTGACTGCCTAACTCATGATACCAAAGTAGGGGAATAGTCTGTCTCTTGCTGTACAGACTTGTGACCATGAACATACTTGTAAAGAGCTGGTTTGACCTACAAAAGTGCATGGTCACAGCACTTTGCTTTGTAAATCTCTACAGCATGAATGCTTCTGTGTACAGCATGAACGTCAGCTGTTCTGAAAATATCTCCTATGCTTCCAGCTCAGCCAGTGGGATGGTAGTTTTAATATCTGGCTTCAGCTCCTATGTATACTGGGGTCATATTTTGGGGATGGAAAGTGAATTAGAAATTTATTTTTGTCCCACTCTCAGCCTCAATTCTCCTAAGAATCTCTCCTTCAAATGACAAATAGTCTTGGCTTTCTTGGTTGATCAAGAGATTACAAACAGCCTGCATTCATTCATGACTTGTTCTTTCTCTCTCTGTTTTCTTTTTTAAAGAGAGTTAAAAATAGAGTTCTGTGGTCTCAGATAGAAGTTTCTTTTATAACCTCCCTTAACACATCTGTGTTGTTCTCCGTGGGGCATGAACTTTCATCTCCTTGAAGACAATCACCTGACCTGTTCGTTCTTTATCTGGCTCTCACATGCCTCTTCACCTTTTAACCCTGCCTTGGCTGATTAACTTGGCACTTTCCATGATCCAGGCTGTATTGAGGGGAAGGAATCCCCTTTTACCCCAATCCCGGTCATATCTGGACACCATGACTAGTGGCTCTCCTTCCTCTCCGCATGTGATAGAACGTATTTGATTGTTTGAAGGGTGGCTGCCGGATGGGATTCAGGTGATACGTGCTTGAATTTTCTGACTCATTTTGTGCTCATTTGTAACTGACTTCTTTTGTGATCTTCCAGAATACCAGGCTGCTATCTTACATCTGAAGAGGGAGCACAAAGAAGAAATTGAAAACTTGCAGGTATATCTCTTTGATTCTGCCAATCTGGCCTTCTGATGGTTATTTTTATCATGTGCTGAAGTAAATATTCCTCCCAGCTGCCAGTGGGCACCAAATGGAGTGAACATTCCTCTTAGTGGGGAGTTCCTAACTAGATTTCATCTGCAGCTCCCTTATTCCAGGCTAAAAGCCTTGGATGTGGTGCTTAATAAACTCTGTTTTCTAACACTGAAAAAAAAAAAAAATCACTGTAAATGCTTTGGGCTTTGATTGGAAGAGTGACTCTGTCTTTAAGTCAGGAAACAAGAGAGTATTGAGACTTTTACTGCTCATGGGAAGTATTTTAAAACTTGATGTTTCTATACACCCTGTAATTCACTTCTGTTACACTCACCCCTCTGCGTGCCTCTCAGCTCCACCCTGGGGTATGATATCATGCAGATGAAGAGTGTGCTGAGTCATTCTGTGTCCTTAGGGCGTGCTGAAAGGTGCCAGTGGGTCCTCCTCTGTTTGCCATCTAATTGTCAGTCTGTAGGCTTGGCGTTTGCTTACAGGGCATGTGGCAGGAAATTCAGAGTCTTCATTTCAAGCCACTGGATAGTGAATGAGACCTTGAGTCTAGGTTATTAATACGTGGGGAAGCCATATGTATTACCTGGGAATCGTGGCAAATTTTAAATATAATGAATGTTGCTTTAATCGGAACTCATTATTTACCACTTTAATCAGTTTGTGGAGCTAAAATATCCTTCCTTTCAAATTTCATTGACAAATAGAAATTGTAATTTATAAATACATGGCACGTTTGGAAACTGCATCCTGAAGTGAACACACTGAGTTTAATTTATAAATGAATTTATGGACCAAATATCCTTTCTGCTCATTTATTTTTGTTGGTAAATAGGAGTTGAATACAATTTATGGTGCACAACATGTTTTGAAATATCATACTTTGTAGCATGACTGATTGGGGTTCATTCACTTACTATGTCATATACTTAACTGATGCTTTGTAAGTAGGCTCCAATCTGTTTAGCACTGTTCAGGTGGATAATAATTGCTACTAAAATGGCCACTACAACCAATCACATCAACTTACTTCTCATATCTTACTGAAATTTTATATACTTTTATCAACCTCTCCTTAATTATTTCTGAATCTATCACCCCTAGTCCCTGGTAGCCATAATGTGACTCTGCTTCTAGGACTTCAACTTTCTTAAATCACACATGTAAGTGAGATAACACAGTGTTTGTCTTTCTGTGCCTGGCTTATGTTTCTTAGCATCTTTCGTTCATCCATATAACTAAAAATGATAGGATTTCCTCTTTTTTAAGGCTGCATAATATTCCATCATATATATATATATATGCATAGGCTCCATTTTCCTTATTTTTTCATTCTTTTACTGACACCCAGATTGATTCTAATTTGCCTTTTGTGAAGAATATTGTAACAATATTGTAGCACTGTAGCTGTGGCTTCCTTTTGGAATGTATCCAGTCATGGAGCTTCTTAATCATTTGGTGATTCGGTTTTTAATAACTCTACTAGTTTACATCCCCACGAAAGGAGTTAATGGCTCTTTTTTCACCCCGTCTTTGCCAGTGCTTGTTGTCCTCAGTCTGTTTTTGGTAATAGCCATTAGGACAAGTGAGACTTGATACCCCCATTGTGATTTTAATTTGCATTTCCTTGATAATTAGTGGTGCTGAACATATTTCCATATACTTGATGACCATTTTATGTGTACTTTTGGGAAATAGCTACTCCGTTCATTGCTCACTAAAATCAGTTTGTTTTCCTGTTATGAGCTTATCTGTATTCCTTGTATATTTTGTTTATTAACTGCTTATTTAACCTTGCATAAGTTCCTCCTTTCAATTTTCTATAATGTGTTTTCAAATGCAGTTAGGTTAGCAAGGTATCTCAGAGGTCACCAAGCAGCCAGCTGGTTCAATCCCCAGGGTTCACATGGTAGAAAGAGAAAAGTGACTCCTATATGTTGTCCTCTGACTTTCACAGACACGACACAGCATGAATACATGAGTGCATGTTCATGTGCACAGCCACCCACTCACACACAAAATGCTAAATAAATATGAAGAAAGCAAGTCATTTAAAAAAAAGGGGGGGTGAGACACTATCCTGGGTTATACATGAAATCATTGCAAATAGCCAAACACATAAGTAGCTAGTATACAGAATCATGTCACACCCTTTCACACTGATACACATGGTTTGGAAGAGGGAATGAGTTAATTTAACAAAGACACAAAGTGGAAAAGTGTATCTCACTCCTAGAGAAAAGGGACAGATGGAGGCCCTCATTTCCTTGGGTGTAAAATAATCTCACTTCCTGTTTCTTTGTGGTGGAATGAAGAAGCTTCTGAGATGTCCAAGAGGATGTGGAGTTGATGGTAGATAATTAAAGCACGGGTCAGAATAGGATAGGTATGGAAGGGATCCCATAGACAGGTTTATTAACAGTGAAGTTACCAGAGTCATTAGTTTTCCCACTTGAAAAATAAGCTCTATGAGGAGTAGGCCAACTGAATAATATTCATGCTAGAAGGAAATACTTAGCTCTTAAGTTATTACTCCAGTGGGCATTGAGCTAAGCATATTACATGTATATTATGCTTCAAAAATCCTCTGATTCTACATATCAAATGAAGAAAGGCTTGGCATGTTAGTCAGCATGCCAACTCTGTAACAAACACCCAACATAATAGACTCAAAGCAGAAAAAAGGTTTATGCTTGCCTCATGGTTTCAGATCATGGTCATTTATCCCTGTTCCATTTGGCTTGTAGTGGGACTGCATGGCAGAAATGGCTGTTAATTTCTCTGAGTGTGTGAAGCAAAGAGAGAGACAGGAAGGGCCCAGGACCCCTCAGTGCCTTTGAAAGGCACACCCCCTAGTGTCCTCATGTCCTTCCACTAGGTTCTCCTTCCTGAAGTTCCTGTCAGCTGCCTGTTGTCCTATAGGCTGGGGACCAAACTTATAACAAATGGGCTTTGAGGGAACATTGGACATCCAAACTCATGACTAGAGATGGGAAAGTGAAGAGTAAATGACAAGGGGAAAAACAATGTATCATGAAGCTGATTTCTGTTTAAGATATGAGTTAGATTATGATATGATTAGCATTACTGAATATTAGCAGCTTTCCATAATTATACTTTAGAGATTCTTGGAGAGTTATTTTCTTAGATTATTATCTGTTCTTTTGATGCTATCGGTGAAGTTAAAATTTTTATGCCCCAAATATATTGCTTATGTCAAATTATAGAAATCCTGTGGCGTGCTACTGTTACATGGGCAGCAGGCCCAGTTTCTATAGCTGAATATTTCTTGAAACATGCAGCAGTCACAGGCAGACAGCCAGCGGTCTGTGGTCTGCCCCCAAGAAGCATTTTATTCAAAATGTAGCACTTTAAAGATTTGAAATAGGAATACACACGTTAAATGTAGAGATTTGTGTGTAAGAAATGGAGTTCTAGCATTTTGTTTAAATACATTAGAAAATTTGGCAGTGATGATGCTCCATGTATCTTCAAACTACTCAACATGGTAGCTAGTATCCACTTCACCTGTACTTTTCTGGCCACCACTGTCTGCCCTGGGTGGTTCAGCTACTTGACTCCCATGTACTTTAATTAGCTCCCTTTTCTGAATGGTAATGCAACAAAATGAGATGAATGATTTGGCAACAACAGCAACAAGTCAGAGTAGATACCATTTATAACATATAGAGATCAAACCCCAGCTTGGTTGTACTTGAGTATCCTCTCTGAATATCACCCCTGCCTATGGCATTCTTCCGTGAAAGCAAATCCCGCTGGACTGGTGGAAGATAATGGCTGGGAGGACAAATGCTTTGGTGCTCATGTCTTTATTCATGATGCCCCTGGCAGCCTTCAGTTATGTTTTCTTTTTCATTGACAGGGCATGGAGAAGTCAGGTGTTTCAGGGCTTCCCGAGCCTGCCTTTCTGTGCTGGGTTGGACCACAGAGGATCAGTTGTTTACTCCCTCCAGCAATGGAAACTCTGTAGAATGCTCTATTGGGAGATGGGCCTTTGCAGGCTGTCACGTGAAGCCAGTGGGTGGAGGAGCACAGAGCTTTTAGCCTCATTCATTCTCTGCACCTGACAGTTTTTGAGTAGCGTGAGAACCAGGCTCAGTCCACAGACTAGCTTTTCAAATGTGTACTTTTCCACACATAAGGCTTTTTATTGATGTCTTGACTGAATTAGATATTGCTGCCCTGTGCTTATCTACTACTGTGAAAACATTTGGCTGACATTTCAAATCACCAGAGAAGGAAGTTGTGGCAGGTCAGGACATTTTCCGTGCTGTCATTTCATGTAATTTATAATTTTACCATAGGAAAGTTCTTTTATCTCTCCCCCCCCATATGTGTTTCTTTTAGTGTATCCCATCTTCAAAGTTTGGTCACTTCATGTTACTCATATTGTCTAGTTCAGCTTTTGATAATCTAAGGTTTTGGCTTTCTTTGGGGGAAAGACAGAACCTTCCCTTTTGCGTTTCCTTTGAGCTTCTTGTCTGAGAAGCTTCTGTGTAGGGTTGGTAGGAAACATTGCTTAGACCTCTTCAGGCATTTGACAAAGCTCATTCTCTCACAGTACAGTAGCTATTTCTTTAAGGTTGCTTAGGAGCTAGGATTTGAAAATCACCATCACAAACTCTTTCATAGCTGATGTTTGTCTTATCACTGCTTGAGGACTGGGAAAGATGTTCATTTGTGTTGGATGGTAGTGTGAGAGAAGTTGGTTCTCTTTGGCATTAGGACCCCTCTTTCTTGTGCAATGACCATATGAAAAAGGTAACTTCTCTGAGACTTCGTTTCCTTGCTCTCAGCAACTGTGCATTATTGATCATGTTGGCAGGGAAGCTAGTGTCACCACTCCACAGGAGGGATGTTGAGTAGGACTCAGCCTGGTGACATTGGTTCTGAAGCACAGCTGCTTCTCATTCATCTGTTAAGTTTCTTTA